TGTGCTCAGCCCCTGTGACTTTTTAATTTCATTCTTTACACTATTCCAATTCAGTATATTTAGGAACCGTAGATCACACTGGAAATGATGAAACTGACATTTGAAACATTTCCTTTCTACTTGGGCAGATCGCAGACACATACAGTTTCGTCCTTTATGTAAATACGTTGTTTCTAGTATTATTTTTTTAAATAAATGCTTCATGTTTCATGTTTCATGAAGTACCTTTGTTTTTCCACTTGAAAGGCACTAGTTTCACTTTGATTTGAGTCTCTGTTCTTTTTTTTTTGTAAAAGAAAAAACAAGAAGTAGCATATCTTTAATTAATTTAATATTTAAGTAAATATTTAATTCTAAAGTCTCATCTCTTCAGGCCAGTAAGCACTCCTTTTTAGTTATTTGTTTTTTCTGAGATGGAGGCTTGCTCTGTCACCCAGGCTGGAGTGCAGTGGTGCGATCTCGGCTCCCTGCAGCCTCCGCCTCCCGGGTTCAAGCAATTCTCCTGCCTCAGCCTCCCGAGTAGCTGGGACTATAGGTGCATGCCACCACACCTAGCTAATTTTTGTATTTTTAGTAGAGAGGGGGTTTTACCATGTTGACCAGGATGGTCTCGATATCCTGACCTCGTGATCCGCCCGCCTCGGCCTCCCTAAGTGCTGAGATTACAGGCGTGAGCCACCGCACCTGGGCTATGACAGCTTTTTTGTTTTTAAAAACTCTATTCCAGGATCTTGTCTAGTATTAAGCATTGCATGTGAGTCTTGTGTATTTGATCTCCTTTTTCCTGAAAATTGTTTCAGCCTTTCTCTGTCCTTGTGACATTGACATTTTTGAAGAGTACAAAGCAGTGGTTTGTAGAAAGCCCCTCAGTTTAGTTTGTCTCATGCTTCCTCGTGATTAAATTCGGGTGTACATTTATTACAGGAATACAATAGAGATTTTGTGTTCTTCCCACTGTGTCACACCTGGAAGCATGTTGATTTGTAGGAGGAGGAGATACTTTGAGATAAGGAGACTGTCCTTTTGCTCTTCAGACTTTCAGCCAGTAGTTTTATTTAATAATATCCTTTTAATGAATCTTGCCTGAATAACAGTTATTGCTAGGTGCTTGCAAAATGCTGAAATTTTCCTCCTAATTGTATTATTCCTTACTCACTTATTTAGTACTCTTCTGTAAGGAAAGCTTTCTTTCTCCTCCTGTTTCTTCTTTCTGCCTTACTTTCTAATCCAAATGGGATAATGCATGGGTGTTTTTACTCCATAGATTATAATTTATTACTATCCTATTCATACTGATGTTCAGATTGTCCCAGGTTTGGCTGTGGGAGTCCCTGCCAGTTGTCTCCCACATCTTTTGCAAATGGTTTCATTCATTATTTTTGGAGCAGTTGCTTATTTTCTGGTATTAGGGAATGTTCATCTTAACCTTTCCCTGTTCTAGCCCTAGAATCAGTTGATTTTTTTTAAGCAGCTTTGGTTTCTTTTAGGGCTAATGGTATTTAGTAAACAAGTTCTGGGCTAGGTCAGCTCATTGCTGCTGTCATTGCTTTTAGGCCTTCAGTGGGTAGAGCTGGGGAAAGAGGCAGCTTCATATGGTTCCATTCAATGTATACATTTTTTAGTGACATACCTGTGTGAATACTGTTGCTGCTTTGCTGAATAAGAGCATTGAACTACGATCTAGTTTGCCCAAATATTGATCTCAAATCACTATGGCTGGGGAATACTGTAAAGCTGTATAGATTTGGGCTCACTAGTATGAGAATGTGCAACTTCACTGTTTGGGGACAGTTGGCCTTGAAAGAAATAAAGAATATAACCCTGTTTTCAAATAGCTGCAAAATGAGATGTGATATGAAAACAACTGCTTTTCCTTACTAACAGAATCACAGGTACTGCTAAAGTTACTGTGGCTTATTGTCTGTGTTCATAACCGAATACCATGCACAATGTTAGTCAGAGGTTAGGAAAAAACAAAGATAATTTTTTTTCCATCCAAGTTTACATCCTACTTGCCTTGAATCCTGCTTACCTAATACCCCTCAGGACCCTTGTTTAAAACTCCTGCTTTAGAATGAACATCATTTTAAAGCCTAGTTAGTTTGCACAAATCACGGAACTCTAAGGTTGTAACTTTTTATGAAGAAACACCAGACATTAGCTCTTATACATTACTGTTGCCTTTTAGTTTTTCTACCTATTGGTTTTTTTTGTTTTAGTTTTTTTGTCTTTTTTTGAGACAGGGTCTCACTCTGTTGCCCAGGCTGGAGTGTAGTGGCATGATCATGGCTTACTGCAGCCTTGACTTCCCAGGCTGGGTGATCCTCCCACCACAGCCTCCTGGGTAGCTGGGACAGCAGGCGTGCACCATCATCCCCAGCTAATTTTTCATAGAGATGGGGTTTCACTATATTGGCCAGGCGGTTTTGAACTCCTGGGCTCAAGCAATCCACTTGCCTTGGCCTCCTAAAGTGTTGGGATTACAGGCGTGAGCCACCACATTCAGCCTGTACCTATTCTTTATCATTGTTTTGAATATTGTCATTCTCTCTAGCCTTTTCTATGCATTTCTTTAATCCTGAGGAAATTATTTTTTGTTGCACTCATAGAATTTGATGTGTAGTGTTTCTTAAATCTTTATGAATTTATTTAGTCTTGTCATATCTTAATTCAGTATAAAGCAGCAGTAAGTATGTATATTTATTTTTACATGGGTTTAGAATATAATCCATACCACCATACTGTGAGTTTGTTCCTTTGTATTCATTCTTTTTTGCTTGTACTTCTTACTGCCACAAAATCTACCGATTCGTAAGTAACAAGCTTTGCTGACAATGAGAATGAAATGGGAACTGCACTCAACATCACACTGCCAAAATGGCCAAGACAATCAAAGTCCTAGATCATTTTCTTTGCCTTCTCCCCTGTCTGTCCTTGGGGGATTTAGAGTAGAAATAGATCAAATGATTCAAGGGTACAAGCTGGGAAGACGGGTTTGGAGGAGCCAGGATGTGGTGGTAAATCTTCAGGAAAAAATTCCTACCCTCTGACAGAGTTCACCAATCCACTATTTACCACTATCTCTGCCAGAGAAGGATGACTTTTCATGACTTAGCCATATCTCAATCTTCAGTTTAAATAATGTGACTCTCTGAGATCTAAGCATGTTTAAATTTAGAAAAACAATATTATATATGAGAAGACATGAATAAAAAGTATAGAGTGGCCAAAATTTATTTTTAGTTGGTTTACTGAACCATGGACCTTATAAATTAAAATGCGGAACTTTATGGATTATATTTTCTATAGAAAACACTGGGCTTTATATTACTATGTACATTTTTGAGTACATATAGTTGTCCTCTTTTGCCAGCAGGTGGGCCGTAAGCATGCAGTTATGACCCCAGCTCAAAAGTGAAACACTTCCAGAGCGCCTACAGCAATGCAGCAATACATCTTCTTTCCATTCTGTCTTTCCTACCCCAACACACACACACACACACACACACACACACACACACACACGGTCTATCTCTCTCTCTACACACTGTTCTGTACCTTTTTCTCACTTAAGGATTATTGTGGAGATTGGTATGTATCAATGTAAGAAGAGACTCAAAATTTTTCAGACCTGCATAGCATTCCATTGTACTACTGTACCATAATTGATTTAACCCCCATTGATGAATAGTAGCTGGTTTTCAGTCTTTGTTATTATACAAACAATGTGACAGTGAGCAGACTTGCATTCTATAACTTTCCCTGTGTGAGCATCTCTGTAGGATCAATTATTAAAGGGCATGTGCACTTGTGATCTTGATCGCCAGTGCCAGGTTGTCCTCCATAGAAGTCATGCCATTGATATCACTAGCAGCAGGGTGCTGTACGTGCTTGTTTCCCCAGAACCTTGTCTGTCCAATAGATGACAAATGTAGTTTCTCAGTGTCCTTCCAATGTACATGGCCCTCATTATGAGCAGTGCTGAGCATTGTTTATGTATATTTATGAAATAAATATATAAACAAATATATAATTATATATGTCATATTTATTTTATATATAATGAATTATATTTAGGAATATACCTCTAAAATTAAAAATATAAATAATTTACATAGCACATATAATGTACATATTATATAACATATATATAATTTATAAATATAAAAACAGTATATTATAATGTATAATAAATATATACTATATTATACAAATATATAAATATATATAATTTATAATATATTTTTATATATTTTAGAGGCATTATATTTATTTTCCTAAGAACTTTATGACTTGCTTGTATTTCTATAATAGTGTTGGTATTTTTTGTCACTGACTTGGAGGAGCATATTGCATATTAGTGACATTAGCCGTTGATCTGTGATAAGAGTTGAAATGTTTGTTCTATTTTATTCTTTATGTTTTAATATCTGTTAGAAATAGTCCCTATTACTCTTTTGTTTTGTAATTTTTGTAATGATTTTTGTTTATTCTTCCATATGAACTTGAATTTCAACTTGAGAAGGATTAAAACCTCTGTGATCATTGTCATCATGATCTTTCTTTCTAACTTGTCCAATAATGCTTTATATCTTTTGAATCGTATTGATTATTAGACTTTAGGTAGGCTATTAGCAGAATCTGGAAAATAATAGACTGTACTGGCTACTGGGGGCTGAAAGAGATGACTCTAGAACATTCTGGGCTTTTCTTACTTGTTAAAGAATTGTGTGTTAGTCTTCATACTTTCAGACAAAAGGACACAGAGGAAAGACTTGAGGAGGACACGGAGGTCATGCTCTTCTCGAAATAATTCCCTATGTTTTCTATTCTGATAAGCCACAGCTTGCATAAAGTTCCTTTAAAGTTTCCGATATATTTTGAGTCCCTACACATTAGTATTTTCTAATACCGTATATTAGTACAGAGATTTTTTTTTTGTCAAACAAAAATATTAGTCACTATTTTTTCAGTAAAACTTTTAATTATTTTAATTTCAGGGTGGTTTATGGTGTTTTGGAGGAAATGGACTTCCTTATGCTGAAAGTTTTGGAGAAGTTCCTTCAGCAACAGTGGAAATGTTCTGTTTAGAAGCTATAGTAAAACATTCCGAGGTAATTTACATTTTCAAAATGTAGTTTACTTTCCATGATTGGATTGAAATAATGTATAGATTGATTCTTGCAAGGGAAGTAATCATCATTTATTATAAAAGGATAAAAGCTTTGCTGGGCGCGGTGGCTCACGCCTGTAATCCCAGCACTTTGGGAGGCTGAGGCGGGTGGATCACAAGGTCAAGAGATCAAGACCATCCTGGTCAACATGGTGAAACCCCGTCTCTACTAAAAATGCAAAAAATTAGCTGGGCATGGTGGTGCGTGCCCATAATCCCAGCTACTCAGGAGGCTGAGGCAGGAGAATTGCCTGAGGTTGCGGTGAGCCGAGATCACGCCAATGCACTCCAGCCTGGGTAACAAGAGTGAAACTCTATCTCAAAAAAAAAAGGAGAAAAGCTTTTCACTTGTTTTAAAATTTCTGCTTTCCTCCAGTTTTAATTGTTAGGATGATCTTGATTAGCACCAATAAATGAGATTCAGTTTTGCTAAGTATTTCTAAAAATTTATTTAATTTTAATTGCATAAAAAGAAAGTAGCCCATCATCTAAATGCGGCATTCACCTTTGAGGTATGCTGTCTTCTGCTGCCTTACTGAGATCATTTTTACATAATATTTACAGATAATTTCCATTAAAACAACTGCCAAAGATATGACAAGATAAAAGAAAAAACAGTCCAGGTGTGGTAGCTCACGCCTGTAATCCCAGCACTTTGAGAAACTGAGGCAGGTGGATCACCTGAGGTCAGGAGTTCGAGACCAGCCTGGCCAACATGGTGAATCACCATCTCTACTAAAAATACAAAAATTAGCCGGGCGTGGTGGCACACACCTGTAATTCCAGCTGCTTGGGAAGCTGAGGCAGGAGAATTGCTTGAACCTCGGTGGCAGAGGTTGCTGTGAGCCGAGATTGTGCCTCTGTACTATGGCTTGGGTGACAAAGCAAGACTGTCTCAAAAAAAAAAACAACCCAAAACCAAAAAAACAAAAAACCAAGGAAATACTAGATGACCATACTCTTGAACTATAACTACCAAGGAAAAAGCAACAAACCTTGTAGTGCTCACAGTGCAGAAACATCACTCAGGAAATGTGTTTAAAAATAGTACATTTTTCCACCCACTTGTATCAAGTTTAATGTAGTAGATTAGTAGATTTTGCATTTGTAGCCAGCACCCTGGTGAGGTGAATGCAAGTGTTCCATCCCACATCAAGAGAAGCACCATCCTTGAGATTCTCAACTCGCAGTTTTGGGACACATTAGACATGGCTTAAAAGACATAAAGGTGTGAGTCATCTTTAGACTAGAAAGTCATCTTTAGTTCTCACCCATGAAATTAGGAACTGAGCACAAAGCAGAGGGAATCCTGTGTTGTTGTATAGAAGGGACTTGGGAAAACGTGCCCGGGTGTGGTGTCTCCTAAGCTGTTTTTTCTGAAGCAATAGCTGCATCTTCAGTAAAAAGGGCAGTGCATGGAATATAATAGTTACCTTTCCAGAAAGTTCTCAAATTACTGCAGATCTCACTTGATACATAGTATATCTAAAAGGCATACATTTTAAAGTACTTAAAATGTGCTATAATTTAATAACAATCCAGAAAATGAAAATTGCTGTTTGTGCATATGGTATCATGTCCTTGAGTAAAACTAGTGATGGGAAGAGGCAGGGCTGTGCCTAGTGACGTTAGAAAGACCAACTTGTTGGTCACTTCTCTTCCCTTAACTTAATATGCATGTTTGCTTTTTCTTTTGCCTGTTTTCTCCATTAACACTTCAAATCCCTGTTTATTTTTACTTGATCTTTCTAGCTCTCTTTTTTTAAAATTATATTTTAAGTTCTGGGTTACCTGTGCAGAACATGCAGGTTTGTTACATAGGTATATATGTGCCATGGTGGTTTGCTGCATCCATCACCTCGTCATCTACATTAGGTATTTCTCCTAATGCTATCCCTCCCCTAGCCCTCCAATCTCGATGGGTCCTGGTGTGTGATGTTCCCCTCCCTGTGTCCATGTATTCTCATTGTTCAACACCCACTTATGAGTGGGAACATGCAGTGTTTGGTTTTCTGTTCTTGTGTCAGTTTGCTGAGAATGATGGTGTCCAGCTTCATCCACGTCCCTGCAAAGGACATGAACTCATCCTTTTTTATGGCTGCAGAGTATTCCATGGTGTATTTGTGCCACATTTTCTTTATCTAGTCTATCATTGATGGGCATTTGGGTTGGTTCCAAGTCTTTGCTATTGTAAATAGTGCTGCAATAAACATACGGGTGCATGTATCTTTCATTTATGTATTGTGCCAGATATCCACACATTGTGATAAAATCGAAGCAAATGGAGGCCTGCAACTACTTCAGAGGCTATACCGACTTCACAAGGACTGCCCTAAAGTACAGAGAAATATAATGCGTATCATTGGAAACATGGCTTTGAATGAACATCTTCATTCTTCTATAGTTCGCTCAGGTAACAGCTTTATATACTGAGTATGTTTTCCTTTGTTCTTCTACCTCTACCCCTCACGATATGTTCATTTTTCAATAGACAAAGCTCTACTTAGGGTTAGTTATGGGTCCTTAGAACATGTTATTTTGGTAGAGGCAAGGAATTGCTTGAGATTGTAGATAATCTAAGCCTAAGATAATCAGTGTTGTAGGTGATCATAGGAGAGCAGGTTTGCTATGATGATCATCCAATTGTTTACATAATTTTTTTTTAGAGAGAGTCTCACTGTGTTACTGAAGCTAGAGTGCAGTGGTGTAATCATAGCTCATGATAGCCTTAACTCCTGGGCTCAAGGGATCCTCCCATTTCAGCCTCCTGAGTAGCTGGGACTACAGGCATGTACCATTGTGCATGGTTAATTTGAAAAACTTGTTATAGAGATGGGGTCCCACTTTGTTGCCCAGGCTGGTCTCAAACTCCTGGGCTCAAGTGATCCCACTGCCTTGGCCTCCCATAGTGTTGAGATTACAGGTGTGACCCACCATGCCCAGCCTATAATTTTTGATGTGATTTGGTTAAGTAAGAGGCATAGTCAGACTAAAAAGAGATTCATTATATGATTAATGATTTTCCCCCTTGCAAGTAATAAACCAGCTGTGGGGAGATACTTAAGACCAAGCAGATATCCTGCTTTCTATCCTCTGACAGTTCCTGCCCAATCTAGTCTTTACCTTAATGGTTTCAGAATGAGCTCCAGCACACCCTCTGCATTTACTTTTCAGCATTTGACATTCTATTGGAAGCAAGAGCCCTTCTCTCTCCCTCCTCCCTCCCTCCATCTCCTCTCTCCCTTCTATGGATGGGTACATGAATTCCTGTTTTTAATAGTTTATAATTTATTGCCTTACTTAATAATTTGGTGCCAAATTGTTCCAGCTTTGACTAATGGGAGCCCCAAGCAAACTGGCCCATGTCCTTTATGATATGCCCACATTATTTTTGGGAGGCATTTCTTATTTTCTGGTATAGCAAGATATTTTGGCTCATTTCTCTGAAGAAACCTCTATCCTTTTAGTGGAGAATGATTCTTAGAGACCAAGGTCTAAATGATAGGAGTGTATATTGCTCCTAGGGAGTCTTTGCTTCTTGCCTCTTTCAGTAGAAAGAGCTGGATAATACATATACATATAATTTAGATATATATACACACATATACATGTGTACATATGTGTGTGTATGTATATGTGTGCTGTGGGATCGAGGGTACACTTTTCAAAACTTACTAATGTAATTATTGATAATTGTTTGGTTATGTTCATCTTGCTCTTTGCTTTCTCTTTGTCCCCCTTTTTTCTGCTTTTTCTAACTTTTCTTGTATTATTTGAGTGTTTGTTTTTAAATTCTGTTCTTTCTCCTCTTTTGGTGTTTTATGTTTGTCTGTATTTTTTAATGGTTGTATCCTTAACTAACAGTCTACTTTGAGTTAAGATTATACCATTTCATATGATGTAAGATCCTTACAACCCCATAATTCCGTTAACATCCCCTGCCATTCTTTCGAGATGGAGTCTCGCTCATCACCCAGGCTGGAGTGCAGTGGCACAATCTGGGCTCACTGCAACCTCCTCCTTCCAGGTTCACATGATTCTCTTGCCTCAGCCTCCCAAGTAGCTGGGGCCACAGGCGTGTGCCACCACACCTGGCTAATTTTAGTCTTTTTGGTAGAGACAGGGTTTCATCATGTTGGCGAGCCTGGTCTTGAACTCTTGACCTCATGATCCACCTGCCTTGGCCTCCTAAAGTGCTGGGATTTACAGGCGTCAGCCACCACGCCCGGCCATCCCCTGACATTCTTTGTGGTATTGTTGTAATATATTTTACTCTTATTTATAGACTTCAAATACATTATCATTGTTATTATTATTTTTTGAGACAGGGTTTTGCTGTATTGCCCAGGCTGTCCTCATACTCCTAGGCTCAAGCAATCCTTCTACCTTAGTCTCATGAGTAGCTGGGACTATATGTTTGGGCAGCTGTGCCTGGTTACATTGTTGTGATTTTTGTTTTAATAGTTGTCTTAGTTCATTTTGTGTTGCTATAACCTGAGGTTGTATGACGGAGGCTGGGTAATTTATAAAGCACAAATTTTTTCGTCTCTCAGTTCTAGAGGCTGGGAAGTTCAAGATCAAGGTTCTGACCATTGGTGTCTTGTGAGGATCTTATTGCTTTGTCATCACATGGCTGAAGACTGAAGGGCAAGCTAGCCTTCATGCTGCAGGAAGCCTCTTTTTTAATTTAAAAATTTTGAATTTAAGATTTTATGTACATGATAGTTGTTCATATTTATGGGATGTACATGTAATGATATTTTGATACAAGCATACAATAATATGCAATGATCAAGTCAGGGCAATTGAGATAGCATTCACTTAAAACATGAAGCCTCTTTTATAAGGGTTTAATTCTATTAATGTGGGAGGAACACTGATGGCCCAGTTACCTCTTAAAGGCTCACCTTTTCATACTGTGACATTGGCAACACTTGAATTTTGGAGGGAACACATTGAAACTATAGGAACAGTCCTGTGACATTTAAAGAATATAAGAAAGCAAAAATCTATTTTATTTGTGTATTTATAATCTCCAGTGCTCTGCCTTTTTTTCTGTATGTATGAATTTACATCTGATAATATTTCTCTTCAGCCTAAAGACTTTCCTTTAGTATTTCTTGTGTATTGGGTCTGCTGGCAACAAATTCTCTCACCTCATTATTTGAAAATGTCTTTAATTTGCCTTTATTTTATGTTCAGGAAAAGATACCTTCCCTGGATAAAGTATTCTTTGTTGACCACGTGTATATGTATATACAAATATACACACATATATATATATTCTTTTTTTTTCTGTCAGCATTTCTAAAATGTCATCCCACTCTCTCCTGGAATCCATTGTTTGAATAAGAAATCTCTTTGGATTCCCAATTCTGTTCTCTTATATATAATATTTCCCCCCCCGGCTTCTTTTGAGATCTTTCTGTATGATTTTTGACTCCGAAATGCCTAGGCATTTCCTGTCATATTTATCCTGCTTGGGGTCCACTGAACTGAGAGAATTAACATATGCATTACCTCATACATATCATTTTTTGTGGTGAGAACATTTAAAATCTATTCTCTCAGCAATTTTCAGTAATACGATACATTTTATTGATGAGTTGATGTTTTTATTCAAATGTGGAAACTTTCCTGCCAGTATATCCTCCAGTATTTATTCTTTTGTCCTTTTATCTTCTTATCTGTTTTTGGAATTTCAGTTATGTATATTAGACCTCTTTGTTCTGTTTGGCAGGTTATTGGGACTCTATTCATTGTGTTTCAGTTTTTTCGTCTGTGCTTTACTGTGTATTATTTCTGTTGACCTAGCTGCAGGTTCATTGATGAAACGGAGACTAAACGATTCAAAGCAGGACAAAGACCTGATCAAATCAGTATCTTATTATAGAAAAGAAAATCTCTCTTCTCTGAAACCTGGCTCTTCAGTCTTCTTGGTTGGCTTCAACATCTCCTGGATAGCCCACTCACCACCCTGGCCTCAATTCCATGACCTTGTCATCTTCATTGACTTCCTGCTCTGCCCCTGAGTTGTCAAGTACTCTACTCTTGAGTCATACATTGAACCTCATCACTGCCTGAAACCACTTCACCTAAAAATCAGCCCTGAGCACATCCTTCTTTCATCCAAGCTTGTTTTTGCATCTACCCCATAAGGACTGGTTTTCTTTTCTACTGAAGTCTTCTATCCACAGACCCCTTTATCCTTTCCCAATCTGCCACTCTTTTTATTCTTTACTTCCTCCCTGAACCCAGCTTATATTTCCATGGTCTGTTATTTCAGTAACATTTTGCCTGTACCTACAACTCCCTTTCCCTTCAATCCTGTTAGTGGTCTCTTGGTCAAGACCTTGATGAAACCTTCTGGCTGCTTACTCTGTGTCTGAACCTGGAATCATTGCAGACTGGTTTTCACCATGCTTATAAAATCACAAATTAACCTTCAGTGTTGTTCAGCAATTATGTTTCTCCAGTAAACATGCCTTAACATTCTTAGCAGTGACTATTGTAAATCTTCCCCATGTTCCTTGAACCTTCCACATATTCCTTTCTCTCAGAGGATGACTTCTCCTACTTTACTCAGGCAATTGAAGCCCTAAAAGAATGTTCTCACTAACAAAAACCAAACCCTGTTCTTTCCTTTTCTTGATAATAGGAAAAGAGACACCTCTTTTATAAGGCCTCCAGCCATGTTGGGGTCTGTCTCCTTTCACAGTCTCAGGAATGTATACTTTTTTCTGGTCTTACAGTCAGCTAGCTACTCCCTCTTAGCTGGACCCTCTGATCACATACATTGGAGGAAGATGTGAAAAACATAAACTACATCCCCTATAACATCCTCTCCTCCCCATTATAGCTAAACTTCTGAGAGTTACCCACCTCTACCTTCTTTTTGCTCAGCCTTCAAAGAAGGGCATTACTTCTTAATACTCCAGTTTGAATTCTGCTACCTTGCCCTGTTTGTTTGTTTCTCTTTAGGCATCCGGTGTCTTTCCCTGTTTTTATATATTTTGTATCAATCTTAGTATCAGATCTGCAAATTTTTGCCTTCAGATTTACAAAAGTTGGAAACAACCTAAATGTCTGCCAATAGGAATGAATAATGGTTAAACAATGGCATACTCATGTGATATAATACTATAGTTAAAAGGAATGAAGTTGATATATATGGAGAGCTCTTCAAGACACATTGCTGCAATACAGTCACAACAGTAGTGTGATTCCATATAGAGCTACATTTTTTTTTTTTTTGAGAACTCACTGCAACCTCCACCTTCCAGGTTCAAGCGATTCTCATGCCTCAGCCTCCTGAGTAGCTGGGATTATAGGCGCCCACCACCACACCTGGCTAATTTTTATAATTTTAGTAGAGATGGGGTTTCACCATGTTGGCCAGGCTGGTCTTGAACTCCTGACCTCAAGTGATCCACCTGCCTTGGCCTCCCAAAGTGTTGGGATTACAGGCTTGAGCCATCACACCCAGCCCGTTGTATATGTTTAAATTATAGGCATATGACTATAATTTTCAAAAGGGTATCCACCAAACTTCTAGCTTTCATTACTCTGAGGATGTAAATGGAGTTGGGAAATGATGAGAGTACTAAAGCAAGACTTTCATTAGATGCTGCTTTTAGTTATTTCATTATTTTTTGCAGTTAACATGTACAGACAGACATTGCTTAACAGAGGAGAAACATTCTGAGAAATGTATTGTTAGGCAGTTTTGTCACTGTGCAAACATCATAGAGTGCACTTGCACAAACCTAGACAGTAGAGCCTACTCCACACCTAGGCTGGATGGGACAGCCTATTGCTCCTAGGCTACAAACTGTACACACGTGGCTGTGTGTACAGTACACTGTAGGCAGTTGTAACACATGCGAAGTGTTTGCATTTCTAAACCTAGCTAAACATAGAAAAGGCACAGCAAAAATACTGTACTAGAATCTTATGGGATCACCATAGTGTATGTGTTTCAGTCAACAATGACATTTTTCAAGGGTGGAGGGTGTTGGACATTGTGAACATATTTTGTCAACTAAAAAATGCCAGAGATGGCTTGTGCCATGCTTTTTCTTGTGACTTCATTAAAAATAAAGCCATATTTTCATACATACCAATAACTCACTTGTCTGTAGATAGAATTTTAAAATATTCTTATTTTATTATTTTAAAATCTTCAACAGATTTTGGAGAGGAATCTTCTGATGTTATAAATTTGAATATTGTTAAAGAAGTAGTGAGTCTGAAGCTTCTTTTAGGTTATTAAATGCTGGCTTCCCATCATCACAGTGACTCAACACTTGTCATAAAGAGTGGGAGAAGGGCATGGGGACAGCTGTCATGTACTGAGTGCCTGCTGGGCCTGGGCCCACGATTTTCACATACATTAGTTTATTGAAACCTTTCTCTAGCTCAGTTGCTAAATAACTTGACTGAGGTTCCAGAGCAAGTAAGCAGGGAGCAGAAATTTGAGCCCCAGTCTCTCTATCTTCAAGGCCCATGTTCTGCCTTATTTTAAATTAAATAAATTATATAAATAGATTTTCAGTTTAAGTACTTCATAAAATAGCTATAGCAAAAAAAACTAAATGTACCTTTTTTACAGAGCCCGCTTCCACCCTACCTCTCTCCTAAGAGGTAATGACTTTATTATTAGTATATAGATCTTTGTGTGTTTGCATGTGTTTGTGCACATATGTACTTTTATACATATTTATGTATATAAACTTTTAAAGATAAACATATTTAAAAAATGAAATCATACTGGATTTTTTCTCAGTATTATCCATGCATTTTCTGTTTGCCTCCCTTTAAAAAATGTTTTTTCTTCCTGCTCTCCAGATTCTACAAGAGTTTTGTATCTCAAATTCATTATTATTAAATTATTTCTTCATTTGTATTAAAGGCTATTCTATGATTGCTGGTCAGGATGAAATAACTTTTAATCCACAGAGTTTTATAATTCTTGTGAAAAGCAAAACATCGTGGTATTTTGTTCATTTTTGTGAACACCTCTATAATTGCTATTAGTGTTAGGTTTTCTAAATAAAAAAAAAATGGCTCTTAAATCCCTCTTTCCTTCGAGATCCCTTAAGGGGTGTGTGTTTGGAGATGGCATGGTATTATGCCACGGGACTCAGAGGATTGTAGGGCAGAATGGGGTTGGAGTGGTCAGGCTTCTCTGCCAAGGACAGACACGCGAGGTTTGCCTTGCTCACATCACATTCAGTGATTCTTCACAGTCTGCGATGGATTCACATCAGTATTTAGGATACATGTACTTTTCACCAGGCTGGGTTTCCATCATGGCAGAAGCAATGAAATCTCACCACATTATGGAGGCTTCACATGCTGCCAGAATCCTGGCGAATCTAGACCGAGAAACTGTGCAAGAAAAATACCAGGATGGCGTGTATGTGCTGCATCCCCAGTATCGAACGAGGTAAGGAAGCAGAAGATAGTTGCTTTGCCCCCTTTGGGAATGTGAAGCCTAGAGGCCTCAAATTTTTAACTTATTTCTGCATAATTCAGATAAGTTAAATACTTTATAAGTCAAATATCTTGTTTTCTAAAATAGTTTGTCTATAGTAACCTCAGAAGAATTGGAAGTGGTTGTGAAAAGTATGTGAACTAGCTAAATTATCAGGGTTATTTTACAAAAGGCTTCCCCTCAGTAAGGTTGCATTCACTTTTGATCATGCGTCACACTTAAACTTTGTAACACACATCTTTGGTTCAAGGCATTTTCTTTTAGATCTGAGTTAATAACTGATTTGGATTGTAGAAGTCAGCTGAATAGGAAGGAGAGAAGACCTTGTCTTACATGGCAGCCAAATTAGCCTGGGCCTAGAACTCAAGGGACTGGGGAAAGTTCATACTAGTTATAAAAGCATCCATTGAAAGGAAAAAGTTGTAATAAATTTGACTCATGCTCCTTCTTAAGGTTATTTGTGGTCATTATATCTAGTTGTATAATTGCTAAGACAATAAATATAGAAGGGACCACACTGAAAAAAATAACGTATTTCTTGGTTTTTCTTAGGGCACTTTACAAAAAATACCTCAGAAAATAGCAAAACTTCTTTTAAATTAAAAAATGGATTACCTGGTTAATCCATTTTTTAATTTAAAAGAAGTTTTGCTATTATTATAATTTAGAAATAAAATGTTATGATAATGTATTTTATATGTGTTACATAATTGTATGTGTACTATAAATAGCTTGCAACTCACATACTGTCTACAATTTTTAATGGGTCATATGCAAAGAATGAATGTTACTTTGAAATCCCATAAGTATTAGTTTTCTTAACATATTTTCAAAAATCTCTTTTATACATACTGACTTTGAAATTGTTAGTAGCATGTTCTTTAATTTCTTAAATACTTTTATTGATTTGTAGAATATTCTCAAATGGAAGTCTTTAGAGGGTAATCTGACTATGACCTCTGTCACTTCAATGACTGCTAAAGCTCATTACAGTTGATTGTGGTTGGTCTGCCTGACTAGATAAGTCTCTGTTTTTAGAGAGAGAACAGTGAACATGCTTTATGTATGTCTTTGGCAAAGCTCCTTCTAGGGTTCCTCAGCAAACCTGTGTTTATAAAGCTTGCTTTAATTCAGTTTTATTTTATGTCACATAAACCTGCTTAAAGCACCATCCACAGAGAATGCTGTGTAGATTCTTACCAAAGCAATAATGCATTTATTCTGCTTCTTTTTAAAACTCTCTCCCCTATTAGTCAGCCCATTAAAGCAGATGTCCTTTTTATTCATGGCCTTATGGGAGCAGCATTCAAAACATGGCGTCAGCAGGACAGTGAGCAGGCTGTAATTCAAAAGCCTATAGAGGATGAAGACAAATATACGACATGTTGGCCCAAGGTAAGGGAGCTGTGACTTGCTTGTTTTTCTCTTTGTACTGGGATTTTTTTCTATGCAGTTCTTCTTTCCCTTAGGGACATTTGTAGAGGGTAATCTGGGCTTGTCACCCTATGTTGTATAATTTCCATTTGGGGTAATGTGTATGACTCTAAGAAAATAGTAAGTAAAAAATAGGGGCAAGAGCCAGTAATAGTTCACTTTTGTTGTAATAGAATACAAAAGAATTATATAACCACAATTGTATTTATAATAGTTACCTAATTCTTTGACCTTAATAATTATAAAAATGCAAAGTCTTTGAAGAAGTAATTATACTTTGCATTTCTTTCTTGTTTTTTCATTTTTTTTTTTTTTTGAGATAGGGGACTCACTCTGTCACTCAGGCTGGAGTGCAGTGGTGCAGTCCTAGTGCACTGCAGTCTCAACCTCCCAGGCTCAAACAATCCTCCCACCTCAGCCTTCTGCGTAGGTGGGACCACAGGCACATGCCACCACACCTGGCTAATTTATACTTTACATTTCTTTGGTATTATTTCTCCCAAAGAACGTTAACTCTGGAGTGAATTTATTGAATGGAATTCACCTAAAACTCATTTAAAAGTGATGCTGCATATGTGTGTGAATAGTTTCTAGGGCATTGCTCCATTACTACTTATTCTCCTTCACGAAGGCTTATCAAGTAGAAGAATGATTTGTACTTTCTGGTGGCACTGAAGTACAGAGATGATGATAAACCCAGGGTACACCGAGATAGAACTGTGACCATTATTATTAGTGTCTCTGAATTCTCAGATCCAGAATCTGTCGGACTATATCATCTGTCCTGAGATGATAGCTTTCTACTAAATTCTTTCAAAAAGGCAATTTGATGTAGACTTTGAAATGCCTTGCTTTTGGCTATAGCAGGTTAAAATGGAAAATAACTCTCTTGAAACTTTCATTGGCCTTATGCTATATATTGGTACCATTTTGAGACCAGAGACATAAAAAGATAAAATTCTGGAATTGTTTTTACAGTACCTTCAAACCTTATTCCAGTGCCGTCTTTAATTATAGTGCCAGAGGCCTTTAGTTATAAATTTCATTTACTAGGCAGTGATTGCAGTGGTGAAGATTCATACTTGTTCTCACGTACATTTTATTTTACTTAGACATGGTTAGCAAAAGACTGTCCTGCTCTTCGAATTATATCTGTGGAATATGACACCAGCCTCAGCGACTGGAGAGCAAGGTGCCCTCTGGAAAGGTAACAGGCAAATTTTAGACCAGAAGGACAGGGAAGAATTCAGGCTGCAAGTTTAGGCCCTCTGGGATGGGAAGTGATTTTAATTTTTTGGTACCAATGACAGGATTTTCTTATGAAAACAAACAATCTTTTTTTCCTCTTCCTTCTAGAAGGAGTTTGCTCTCAATAAGCAATGGAATAGTAGAAGATTTAGGTATATCATCAATGGTGGGCTGCTAACATGTTCATTTACAACTACTCTAATAGTTAAGGACCATGGATTCTCTAGCAAAGTCTCCTTTTCTATCAGAAGTAAAAGTGATGTTTTTTGCTCTTGTGTCCTCAATCATACTGGCTAAAGGAAGCAAAGAGAAAGATGCTGAGAAATATCAGCTGCTCTATCCCTTGTGTATCCTCTGTGCCAGTAGTATACATGGGAAGGAGTGCTGGATTTCAGAGTTACCGGACTGAGAGTAGCAGGATCCTACCTTTGATTTGCTGTGCAGTCTTAGACCAGTCAGTTAACTTGTCTGGGAAGCTCTGTCTACAGATTGAGAGAGTGGTCTAAATCAGTGTTATCAAACTGCTTTCTGAATGGACCTGTCATAGGTGCCTAAGAAGGGTGTCAAGGTGAGCGGACAAGACCCCAGGTATCTAGAGAACGCTTATATTGAAGAAATATGTCTACAAATAAACAGCTTGAAACTACCAGACTAGAGAGTTTTGAAGTTCCTCTTTAGTTTGAAAATTACTTATTTTGAATTCTCTGATTCTAATAGCATCTTGTTTATGCTAGTTATAAAAGCATGCATTGGAAGGAATAAGTTGTAATAAACTTGACTCATCCTAGTATTTTAAAATAGCATCCTACTATTTCTAAAGAATAAACCAAAATTATGAAAGCTTAATATTTATAGCATAACTACCAGTAGAACTGAAACTCACAAAAGAGACCATAGTCTTTGGTGATACTTTCATTGTCAGGCCTTGGATGAGAAAGGACATCTATATCCTAAGTGTTGGGGGGTGGTTGCAGGGAGACCCAAGTTTGACCTGAAAAGTTGCCTGACACAGATGCTCCAACAGTGTTCATGTAGTAAATGAATGGCCTCTTCTGAGCTTAGATGTTCCTAATTATGCTAATGTTAATAAGTTACAAATAGAGAATGAACTATTTCAGGAATTGAGCAGAGAGATCCCAGACGTGGTGGCTTATGCCTATAATCCTAGCGCTTTGGGAGGCCGAGGTGGGAGGATTGCTTGAGGCCAGGAGTTCAAGTAACTAAGCAGAAAGAATAGGGGTATTTCTAACTCTAAATGTAGCATTTGTCCTGGAGACAAAAGTTCTTAACTCTTAAAAATTAGATAACAAATTGAGGGTATCAATAGCCTCATGTCATGCCTGCTGTTTTTGTTTTGTTTAGAAGGTCCATTGCATTCAGAAGCGACGAACTTCTCAGGAAGCTCAGAGCTGCTGGTGTTGGGGATAGGCCAGTGGTTTGGATATCACATAGCATGGGAGGTAAGTGCAGCTTCAACTTTGTGAAGTGACTGTTGTGATGTGATTTTCAGCCACTGTAGCCAACCTAAAGTTACTGTATCTTTCTGTTTTACTTAATAGTGACCCCCTTACCCTCCGCTAAATTAATCAGTGTGGCTATGACTAGTAGTTTTAAAATTACTACTCTTGTTCTGTTCTGTTCCTTTCTCTAGAAAGGGGCAACCTGTAACAGACCAGTGTAGTGCTTTCACATAGTGGTAATGAATAAATGTGAGAAGCAGCCCGTTTCATATACACCCACCTTGTAAACGTACATGCCTCAGCATTCCTGGATGGCCCCAACGGTGCCCCTTTATTCTTTCTGCTCCCCTTCACCATTGCAGAGTCTGTGGTCACTTTAGTGCCCATAGTCCCAGACCTTGGGTGCCTGTTCACACTAGGCCCAGAGCTGCTGAGGTGCAGGTGTGATTGAGTATCTGTTCTTGGAGTCCTAGCGGTTGCTTATGGAACTGCCTCCCCTGCGACTCCCTGAGTCCAGTTTGAAATTTTCACCATCCACCTTGCAGAAGGCCTTTCTGCAGTCCGTGGCCTAATTTATCTGGTGAAGCACTTAGGATTGCCTCTGAGGCGGGGCTTTTTGCCATGACAAAGGTGGGTATAGCCCTTTGTGTCCTTAAAGACCCACTGTCATCATCTTTGAGATCTTTGTGTTTCATTATTGGTTCCAAACCCAGGGTAGGGGGATGGAAGAGAAGGCATCTCCGGAGAAACAGTTCCCATGAAGCAGTTCCCTGTGTTCTCCATGGGGGACTGTGTGCTGTGGGATCACAGCACCGACCTATCAGTGTGGTCCTTAGTGGGCCGCCATGGCAGGCTGAGAGACCAGCCACAGCACACTCATGTCCTCAGGAAGCACCCAGTGCTGTGTGCCTCACGTTCCTGCAGTGGGACAGTAGATCCTGTGAGACAAGGATCTGCCCTATGAATGGGTTTCTAGAATCTTACCTGTTTCTAGACTTGCACTATCAGGATCAGGAGTATGATGAAGTGTTAATATTTTAAGGCCCTCTTTCTTATACTACTGTACTGAGAATTATTGTTTAAACCATTTTTAAAAAGAAAGCATCTCTTTTTATGTATTTATTTGGCTTTTTTTTTTTTTTTTTTTACAGTACTAGAGGGAAGGAAAATAGCTTATGCATGGTTTTTCTTCCTTGTCTGTGGCTAGGTCTTCTTGTCAAAAAGATGCTGTTGGAAGCCTCTAAGAAGCCAGAAATGAGTACTGTTATCAACAATACCAGAGGAATAATTTTTTATAGTGTCCCTCATCATGGATCACATTTGGCTGAATACTCTGTTAATATTCGCTATCTTCTCTTTCCCTCTTTGGAAGTCAAAGAACTCAGCAAAGGTAATACTTTCTGTCATAAAGGAAATTGGGGTTATATTAACATCAGTTATACAGAGAAGAAGAAAAAAACCAGTTTCTTCCTTGAATATATTATCTCATTTTATAATTTGTATATAATTGTGTTTAGACTACTCATGGAAGATTTGGGGCTTGGGCTTGATTTTTCTTTGATAATTTCTCATTTTGTTCTTAAGCCATTATTTACTCAAGCATTATAATAATTTTATCTTAAATACTTAAAATTAGAAAAATCACATAATGTTTTGCTTTTAAATATTATTCCGAATTACTGATAAACAGCTTTTCCCCATGAGTGGAAAATCATCAACTGTTAAAATGTAAATGAAACTTTGAGATTGTTAGTTTTAATTTTAAAGTACTCTATTTGTTTTGAATAATAAGCAATTTTCTCTCTGGAACACCTGTGAATCAGAATTTGGACTCCCTGGCTTGAGCCTAAATATACCAGGTGTCTTTTTGCTCATATTTTCTCTTTGTTCCACTTTATGGAGAATCTATCAGTTTTTTTCTAAACCTTCTGTTGGACTTTCCTTTTGTGGAGTCAGATTTTGTTTTCCACACATGCCTTCTTTCCTGTGTCCTGGTTGTTCTGCACTCACGTCCTCTTGTCTTGTGGCTCCTTTATCTTTTTGAATAATTCTAAAGATCCTAAGTAGAGGGTTTGTGAGTTCCCTTCTGTTCCTCATCTAGCTGCTTTTTCTGTGGCCAGCTTTTCTGTTTGCTTATCTGATCCGCTCTTTTACGTCATAGGCCTATCTGGTGCCTCTTGGTTGCCCTTTCATACATGAGGGTGAGGGATGGGAAGGGACAGGCACTCTGTGATTGTAGACAGGCTTTGTTGATGGGAGGCTGGGCTTTGGGGTGGGTGTAGTGGTACCATCATTACACTGGAGGATGCCTATGGTCCCACACAACCAGACTGCCCTGGGAACTGCTCCTGCTCCCAGTAATGTGATAAAGCCTCTCCTGCTGCTGACTGTCCTGTCAGTTCTTGGTTTTAGCTTTTTCCTTGAATCTTAAAGGCTTCTTGACAGGGGAGAAAATAAACATGTGTACTCAAGCCACCATCTTGAATCAGAATTCTAATTTCCTCTCTAAATTGGAAAGTTTAATGCATTTTATTATGAATTGGGTAAACAACTTGTCACAGTCTTGTTCTGTATAATTTTACAGATTCTCCTGCGCTTAAAAAGCTACAAGATGACTTTCTAGAGTTTGCTAAAGACAAAAACTTCCAGGTGCTGAATTTTGTGGAAACACTACCAACTTACATTGGCAGCATGATTAAGCTCCATGTGGTGCCTGTGGAATCAGCAGGTATTCACTCTTTTGAAACTTGTTGGCTGTTAGATGCTTAATTGTACCTAGAATTTAATTGTAAACATCAATTTTTATATCTAGGTTCTCAGTTTTAGGAGATAGTTCATGAAGATCTAGATTTGAATTATTTTCAACAATAGAATTAAATTTCTCTGTAAACATATAATGCGGGCATTACCCCTCCCCACCCTTTATGTAACTGATTAGATGAGAAGGGTTAATTGGTTAACTCTAAGTTAGTCGTCAACAGTGAACTCTATTGCAGTAAAGAAAGCAAGCTCTTCTATCAGCTAGATTGAAAGGGGCATTTATTTAATAGACCGATACTTGCATGCAGAGCCCTTAAGAAAATCAACTAGAAGTGTGGAAGCTTTCGTAAATAGAAGATCCATGGGGAATAATAAAGCTCCAGAAATATTCCAATCGGAAAAACTAGTGTTGAAACACAATTTCTTCATGATCCTGGGGTTGAGAGAAGTGGCCAAGGCCGGCTCTCTAGTGTCATGTAATGTCTTAAAGATTCTTTGAGGGAAGAGTTGCTAGATCTTAACTGTCTTCAAAGCTGCATCTATTACTCTGTACAGAGTAGATAACCCCATACGTTTCACCACTGAATTGCTTTTGCCTCACCTGGCCACGTCTTCAGCTTGCTGGTTATCTCTGGGAACCTCTGAGGCTAGCTTAGGTGCTGTCCTGGTGGTGCCCAGCCACATCATGGGTCCTTCAAGCTAGGGACAGCGTGCATCTGGAGTGCTGCCAGATGGTTCTTTTGTCTACATAATGAGTTTTGTCCTAACTTCATTATATGTTATCTAAAGAAAATAAAAAATGTGTCATACTTTGCAGTAGAACTGAAAAAAGTTTTATCTTAAAGTAATATGCAATAGGGTGAGGAGTTACTATTTGGTAGTTGAAGAACTTGAAGAGTTCCAGGGAACAGCTGCCAGTTGTTTTTAAAAAGGACTTTGGAAGCTTAACGCAACAGCAAAGTTTTTTGTTTTTGTTTTTAAGAGACTGGGTCTCACTTTGTCATCCAGGCTGGATGACAGTTGAGTGGTACTGTCATAGCTCACGGCAGCCTCAAACTCCTGGGCTCAAGGGATCCTCCCACCTTAGCCTCTTGAGTAGTCAGGACCACAGGTGCACACCACCACACCTGTCTTATTTTTAAATTTTTTATATAGATGGGGTCTTGCTCTGTTGCCCAGGCTGGTCTCAAATTCCTGGCCTTAAGCCGTCCTTGGCCTTCCAAAGTGCTGGGATTACTGGTGTAAGCCAATATGCCTGGCCCAAAAGTAAAGTTAATATCATAGACTAGCTGCTTGGAGTGGCATAGCCTTGTCCTAATACTGTTACCAAGAGGCTCTTCTTCTTCTTTATAATTGTTACCTGCATTCCTCACTGAGGTGGCCTCCCTAGTACCTCTTCCTGCTTCCACACAGGGGTCTTGGTTAGCCTGAAATATCTCAAGCACTGAATCATTTTTACTCTGGAAGTGATCATTGGGATTTAGGTTTATAACGGGTCCCATGTGAGACATTCCCATTCATTTCATCAGAGAAAGGAGCTTATTAGGAAATTTATAACAGAAACTCTGAGTAACTTAGAAATAACCCACAAGTATAAGAAGGTTTTGAAGATGCCAGTGCGGTCTGCTCGCTGTGAAATAAGGAAGTAGGCTAGAACACACAAAAAGTTTATGGAAAGCCTAAAATTATGGTTATACTGACTGAGAATCCATTCCTGCATGTTTTATCAAATGTAGTTTAGCTACAATCAAGCTTCAAGTTCCTTTATCTTGTAAGAGTCCCTTGTCACAACCAAACCAAAATCTAGAACAATCCATTTGGCCTCTTTCAGTATTGCCAAGCGGAAAGCCTATATTTTTACTTAGGTTTATTGACTTTCTGTTTTCTTCAGATTTAGGCATTGGAGATCTAATTCCTGTGGATGTTAACCATTTGAACATTTGTAAGCCAAAGAAAAAGGATGCTTTTTTGTACCAACGTACTTTACAATTCATCCGTGAAACTTTAGCCAAAGACCTTGAAAACTAACAGTTGTCCTCTTCCAGTTTTTGTATGTGAGTTCAAAGCAAGAAACTTGGTGTTCTGTTTCTCTTTTTAAGCTCTCAGCAATCATGCAAACATAGTGATCATAGCGTCAACATGGTCTGGAGTGTGTTGCAGATTACAGAACATTGTTCTCCCTTCAAGAGCTAAAGCACCAACCCGGAAGTGGCAGGCACAGAAGGAAGGGCTGGGTTGGGTTCCTTTGGTATATAGGAGTCCCTTTGTGCCATTTTTGGTTCAGAGTGTTGGGCCTGGTGACTGGAGCAAAGCTGCTGTGATAGAGTGTCCTTTTCCATCTGTGACTTTCCTGGTGCATCCAGGAAGGGCACAGCAGGTTCTGAGGGGAGAGCCACCATTAACTCAACTTACCATAAAAATGCTATTAGGAGAGTACCTAAAATGGAGAGAAGAATGAACTAGAACATTCAAGACTCTCTTAGTTCTGGGTATTGATTTGAGGTACATTTTTAAAACGTGTCAATTTTTTAAACTTTTAGTTTTTAACTTTCAGTTTTTTCTGGAGACAGAGTCTCACTCTGTCACCCATGCTGGAGTGCAGTGGCGTGATCTCAGCTCACTGAAGCCTCCGCCTCTGGGGTTCAAGCGATTCTCCTGCTTCAGCCTCCTGAGTAGCTGGGACTACAGGCAAGTGCCACCACACCCAGCTAATTTTTTGTATTTTTAGTAGAGATGGGTTTCACCAAGTTAGCCAGGATGGGCTCGATCTCCTCACCTTGTGATCTGCCCGCCTTGGCCTCCCAAAGTGCTGGGATTACTGGCGTGAGCCACCGCACTCAGCCTCATTTCTACCTTTTATCTGACACATTATTATTGGTGTTAACTTTGCTAGACCTGCTCTCCTGCATGGGACAGTTCCTTGTATCTATTTTAATATTGCTGAGAACAAACTTTTTCTTTTTTAGAAAAATTCTAGCTTATAATAACTCTTTCCAGACTGTAGTTACCTATGCTTGGAATTTGTCCTAGACAAGGATAAAGTAGCTAATCCATTATTCATCAGAGTATGAAATAAAAGTATTCTCAGCCATTATATGGATTAGCAGTTCTTAGTATCAAGATTCTCAGATTCTCTTTGGCTAAATAAACCTTTTTTCCTTCTCATTTGTAAGTGGTGTTAATTGACCTCTATAGCATGGGAGAAGTAGGAAATCATGTTGATGACTTTTTTTTCTTTAGAGTAACAGCATTATTGAGATATAATTTACATACCATAAGATTCACTGTTTTAAAGTGTACAGTTCATTGGGTTTCTTTTGTTTAGAGACACAGTCTCACTCTGTTGTCCAGGCTGGAGTACAGTGGCATGATCATAGCTCATTGTAACCACAGACTCCTGGGCTCAAGAGATCCTTTTGCTTCAGCCTCCCAAGCAGCTAGGACTACAGGCACATTCCACCACACCTGGCTAATTTAAAAAAAAAAAAAAAAAAAAACTTTTTGTAGGGACAAGGTCTCACCATGTTGCCCAGGCCTCAAACTCCTGGTCTCAAGCCATCCTCCTGCCTCAGCCTCCCAAAGTACTATGGTTATAGGTCTCAGCCACTGTGCCCAGCCTCAATTCAGTGGTTTTTAGTATAGTTCACTGAGTTGTGCAACATCATTGCTATCTAATTTCATAATGTTTCATCATTCCCAGAAGAATTAGGGAGTTCCCATACCCATTAGCAGTCATTTCCCACCGCCACTTTCCCCAGCCTGTGGTAAACACTAATCTATTTTCTGTTTCTATAGATTTGGGCATTTTACATAAATGGAATCATACAATATGTGGCCCTCTCTGCCTTCCAGTAGCATGTTTTCAAGGTTCATTTATGATATAGCATGTATTAGTATGTCATTGCTTTTTATGGCCAGCGACTCCACTGTATGATATGCCATGTTTCTTTATCCATTCATCAGCTGATGGACATCTAGGTTCTATTCATTTTTTGTCTATGATAAATAATGCTACCATGATTATTTGTGTACAGATTTTTGTGTGGATAGATTTTTTGATTCTGTTGGGTGGAATTGCTGGTCAAATGGTAAGTCTATGCTTAACATTTTGAAGATGGTGGACTTCTGTAGTTTGGGATAGTTAGAGCTAAAACTGGAGTGCAGCATCTCAAGGGAAATGGGTCATCAATAAACCCTATCAATACCTAATTGTTTGATTATACAACAGCCTAGCAAAACCCAGTTATTTTATTATGTAGATATGGCAAATATGACAGTTGCTAACAACAAATGTACTAGCTGATGTGATGATAACATGGGGAGAAGGGGTAGATATGTTTAGAACAATTAAAGAATCTAGATGAAATGTCTTCAATTGATCAAAGAGCTACGAAGAAAATAATGATTTGTTGAGAGAAATAAATCATTATTTTATCTATAGAAATAGAGTCCAGGAGGCAGGGCGTGGTGGCTCACGCCTGTAATCCCAGCATTTTGGGAGGCCGAGGTGAGCAGATCACCTGAGGTCAGGAGTTTGAGACCAGCCTGGCCAACATGGTGATCGCTGGCCATAAAAAGCAATGACATACTAATACATGCTATATCATAAATGAACCTTGAAAACATGCTACTGGAAGGCAGAGAGGGCCACATATTGTATGATTCCATTTATGTAAAATGCCCAAATCTATAGAAACAGAAAATAGATTAGTGTTTACCACAGGCTGGGGAAAGTGGCGGTGGGAAATGACTGCTAATGGGTATGGGAACTCCCTAATTCTTCTGGGAATGATGAAACATTATGAAATTAGATCTCTATTAAATTAGATCTCTATTAAAAATATAAAAATTATCCGGGCACGGTGGCACGCACCTGTAATTTCAGCCACTTGGGAGGCTGAGGCAGGAGAATCACTTGAACCCAGGAGGTGGAGGTTGCAGTGAGCCGAGATCGTGCCACTGGGTTCCAACCTGGGTGACAGAGCAAGACTTCATCTCAAAAAAAAAAAGGAAATAAGAGTCCAGAAAAAGACAAACTGAAGAGAAGACCAGAAAGCAGACTATGTTGGCTTGAAGCAAGGGTGCCACTCACATATTTGGTAGCCCCTATTACAGACAAAAAGCAAGTCCCCTGTGGGCAGATAATATTTATTTGATAGAGGGTCTCTCTGTCACCCATGCTAGAGTACAGTGGCACAATCACAGCTCACCAGATAATTTTTAAAAGGCATTTCCTCTTCCAGCATATGGCTTGGAGCATAGAGCAGGGATTTGTATTTCTGATCCCACTTTACGTCTTTAGATGGGTCTCTTTGTACAAGGTCCCACTTTGAGGTTGCAGAGCCAGAAGAAGCAACCAAGAAATGGAGCTATGGTTTTGGCAAATTCCCAACGTAAGAGGGACAGAAGTTAAAGACCAGTGCTTGCCAAGAGAGTCTGATAGTCCCAAATATATTAAACTGGGACTGAAAAGGGCTATTACACAAAGTAAGGATGACCTAGAAGCAACATACTGTGCTCATGACTCCTGGGTGATTCAAGAAATCTCAAGCCCACCACTTGAGTTAAGAGGATTTCAGACTGGTAGTGTCTCCAGGCATCTGACAGAAGCAAATGAGGAAGATATATATTCACCCCAGCCTTTAAATTATTCCTACAAATAGTTTTTCAAATGCCATAATCAGTGAATAAAGATAACCAGGCATACAAGGAAATATGATACCAGGAATGAGAACAGCAGCAGAACAGACCTCTCTGCCAAAAAAATTAATAAAAACAAAACGACTATGCTTAGCTTTTTTTTTTAAACACAAGGTTGAAATATCTTCATAAACAGGCTTATATAATGACTTAGATTTTAGAAAGTCTAAAACAGATTCAACTTAGAAACAGATTCTAGACAAGGAAACTAGTTGAAATTAGATTGCACCTGAACAAAGTTTGTGAACTGGAAGAAAGGTCAGAAAGAGAAAGTATTCAGAATGTAGCGCAGAGAAACTAAAGGTAGAAAATATAGAAGAGAGGCGAAGAACATAGACAAGTAAAAAGAGTCTGCCATAAGAGGGTTACTTCATAGTGGTAAAAGATTAAATTCAGGCCAGATGTGGTGCACTTTGGGAGGCCGAGACTGGTGGATCACTTGAGGTCAGGAGTTTGAGACCAGTCTGACCAACATGGCGAAACCCCATCTCTATTAAAATTATAAAAATTTCACTGAAAATACAAAAATTCTACTAGAAATACTAAAAATACAGGCACGGTGGTGGATGTCTGTAATCCCAGCTACTTTAGACACTGAGGCAGGAGACTTGCTTGAACCTGGGAGGCGGAGGTTGCAGTGAGCAGAGACATGCCACTGCACTCCAGCCTGGGTGACAAAACTAGACTCCATCTCTAAATACATACATATATACATAAAAAATTAGCCAGTCGTGGTTGCATGCACTTGTAATCCCAGCTACTTGGAAGACTGAAACAGAAGAATCGCTTGAACCTCGGAGATGGAGATTGCAGTGAGCCAACATCGTGTCATTGCACTTCAGCCTGGACAACAGAGCAAGTCGCAAGACAACAAAACAAAAAGATTAAATTCACTAGGAAAATGGTAAATTTTAATTGTGTATGAATGTGAGTACATGGTGTAAAAATTATACAAAAATGGAGAAAACTACAAAAAGAAACACGCCACAGGAGATTTTTAACACACCTTTCTTGGCCTGCTGGAATATTTAGAGCCCTATACTGTATCCAAGTAATAGAGAATATATGTTCTTTTCACATTTGACCAGATATGGTCAATACTTACTTAGCTCCTATGGTCAAATGAAGAAAAATGAACAGTGAAATAAAACCAAAGAAAATAGATGGAAGAATTTTTTAAAAACATAAATGAAATAATAAAAAAAAATTGCATAGAATCTCCACAAAACTAGAAGCTGATTATTTGAAAAGACTAATAGTTGACAAACCATTAGCACCATCAAGTAAAAAAAGGCACAAATTGCCAATATTAGGAATGAAGAGGAACTATCACTACAATACACACATTAAAAGAGGATATTCCCAGTGAAAGCACAGAGGTGAGTGGATGCCACATTTCCAGACGGATCTTTATTGCCCACAGACCAGGAGATTCCCAGGCAGAGGAGCCCCACGGGTTGCCGGCGCAGCTGTTTTGGACAGCATGGCTGTTTTGCCGGTGCCCTGGCATGGCGGCTCTCCATACAAAATACACTGGTCTGGTTGACCTTTTAAGCTGGCAATTGGAGATCCAGGAAGGCAGATTAGCCCATTCATCTAATTAAACAGGACTGAAACAAAGAAACAGGCCAGGAGATTCCCAGGCAGTGCTGTTGTTTCAGCCGGTGCAGTGGGTCGCTGCATGCGAAATCACACAGATCCCAGCGCCCTTTCAGCAGGCGATGGGAACACGTGGGAGAGAGTCAACCATTCAGCTTAAAAAAAAAAGGCTCTGAGGCAGGGAGCCCAGTGATCAGGCTTGGCAGGTCCCACCCCCACAAAAACAAAAACAAAAAAACAGCAATGGAAACGCTCTGGGTTGAGAGTTTCATGGCAAGCATAGCTGAACCCAGGACGGTGCAGCTCGGTGGGGGAGGAGTGTCCGCCATTACTGAAGCATTCCACCCCTACGGAAGTAGTCCGCCGTTGCTGAGACAACCTGCCATACAGAGAGAGTCCGCCATTACAGAGGTGGGCCACCATTGCTGAGGCAGTTCTAACCACACCCATATAAACAGGACTGCAGGGAAGCTCACATGGCAGCAGGGCGATGCTGGCAGCAGGGTGGAGCCCACACGAGCTCAGCAAAGCCTCTGCAGGCAGACAGTGACTAGGCTGCCTCCTTGCTGGACAGGGCAGCCCTGGGGGGGAAAAAAAAAGGCAGCAGCACAATGGATACTCATAAATAAAGCCATAACTCCCTGGGACAGAGCACCTGGGGGAAAAAAAGGGGGTTTAATGAGTTCTGCTGCAGCAGACTTAAATGTACCTGCCTAGCAGCTCTGAATGAACAACGGAGCTCACAGCTCAGCACTTGAGCTCCTATAAAGAACAGACTGTCTCCTCAAGCAGCTCCCTGACCCCCATATATCCAAAGAGTCACCTCATAAAGGACTGATCAGACAGACATTTGGCGGGCATCATTC